TAAGTGGCAATTTTTCCTGAACGAGAAAAGTTGGCAGTAAGGTTGAGACATCAGTTTGAAGATGCATTATTCATCATTACATTGTAAAAATAAAATCCAAAAAAAGTTAATATTTGTAGTAACAGGAGTTGATAGACTGCCGTAGGGTGTGAAATTTCTATATCTTTTTCAAAGACCTATAATTTTCAAAACACATACATAAAATTTTTTTAAATATTTTTCTGATAGCTGTTATGACTCTGCCTATCACCCGGTTTCCGCTTGACGTCGACTTCTGGGACACCCTGTATATATATATTCGGATTTTTTTACGACTACTGTCGTTTCCCGCTTCTCAAACGCCACATCTTTCGGTCCATCCAGTCTCCCTCGTGGAGTCCCCTGGACATAATGGACTCTTCAACATCTTGCATCCAACTTCTTGGAGGTCTACCACGTTTGCGACGCTCTCGTGGTACCCACTCATAGACTTTTTTTGGCCACCTTGTGTTATCTATACGTTGAGGGTGACCATACCAAACTAATCTTTTTGTTTCTATTGTTTCTAAAATGTTGTGGTCTACTCCCATAATTTGTCTAACTCTTTCGTTCCTAACATGTTCTAGTCTGGAAATCCTTCTCCAGTAATCCATTTCCAGGGACATGAACTTCTCTTTATTTCTTTTCGTCATCTCCCATATTTCTGAAACATCGGTACAGATACTTTCTACTATAGCTTTGAATATCAGTTTCTTTGTTTTGTTTGTCGCTCTAGTACTCCATATAATAGAATTTATTTGTCTAGTTGCTCTTTTACCCTGTGCTATTTTATTTGAAATGTCTTGATTGCTCTTGCCATTCATCGTAAACGTTTGACCCAGATATTTGAATGATGTTGTGTTCTGTATGCTATGGTTTCCAACATCCAAATTATCTCTATCGATGTCACCTGCAATCATATACTCGTTTTTTTACATTAATTTTCAATCCCCATTTCACGTACTCTTCTTCCAGGTTCCTAAATATGTAACAGGAGTTATCTCTATCACCTGCTATCAAAACCTGGTCAACAGCGAATAAAAGGGTATATAGGAAATCTTCTCCGACTGGTATTCCCATATGGCAACATTTCCTCTTCCAGTTCACCCTTGTCGTAATCCTTTGGTTACTGGGAAGTCCTCTGAGAGTTGTCTGCCGCTTTTGACCATGCTGGCACACCCACAATACAGATTTTTGACAGCATTTACATAGACCCTATCAACACCACATTTAATCATGCATTCCCATAACTTGCATAATGGGACAGCGTCATAGGCCTTTTGTAAATCAATGAATGTCAAGCTTGAAAAATAAGTATAATTACTAGCGACAAGATCGCCTGTCCTATCTCCAATTGAACATGTCTGGGACATGATAAAATACCCCAACACTTCTTCGAACTATCTTCTGCAGTCAGTTGACGAATCAAGCTGAAAATTTAATCATTTTACTGAGCATATATGCCAATAATTATTAAAATCGGATAAACATAGGTGTTTACCTTTCTTCATATCTATGACAAATTCTCATAGGTGCCCCTACGCCCTGCAGTATCTCATTTCATTTGGAATAAATTTTTGAACGCCGAAATGTGGTATTAGGTTGACTGTCTTCAGGCAAAACGTGTTTATAAACGGTTCCTCATAAGCATTTTCCCACGCTGTTTCAGAGACCATGACAATAAGCGTTTACCGTGAAAGTAACTCTTTGTCGATTAAATCCGGAAGCGTCTCACATCTGTGTATGAATGTAGCCGCAGCCAGCCTCCATAAACTTGAAAGAATTTCTCCGTTATACTTTTCCGTCAAGGTCATTGCTGTGCGTTCGACCAATTTCACTTTTTAAGGTGAACAACACCGCTTACGACGTTAAAAAGCTATAAAAAATAATTTGAGTCATTTTTTATTTGGTTGTGATTGGAAAAAGTAGTGGTAAACGCAAGTTTTTGTGGTGATACTTGTGGCTGATCACAATGTATGCCTGAAAAGGCATTTTTAAACATAGATGTTCCTCTACTCCGTCTGAAAATGAATGCAACCCAGTGAAAAATATTAATAGAGTTATAAGCAGTCAAGAATACTTATTGGAAGCCTGAAAAGTGCGATATCAAGTACGTCTTCCCTGATGGTATGGTCAAGATAAATAAGAAATGACTCTAGTGATTAGTGTTTACTGCAGTCAGTGAATATAAGACATATCGACTACATACAAACATACACGAAATAGAAAGTATGTGAAAAATGCCTTCTTCTAATCCCTGAGTACATTTATTCGCGACAATAAACGAATCAAAATACAATATGTGAATATAAACCGCTAAAGCTAAAAAAATCATAGAGGGATATTGCAGCACTCTTAAAATTACAAAAAAAAACCTTCGTTTGTGAATTATTTTTTTTTTCAAATAGAAAACGATGTTAAAAGCTATCAATTCTCACTTTCTTCCGGACCATTTTCTAGGTATTAATAGTAATAATATATACTAAGTGACATATAAATCCGAACACCCAGTTTAAATGGCTTTATTTTAATAAAAGTTGGTGAATGTATTTATCTTACTGTAAATAACAAGTGAAACAATTTTCAGCCTTATCAGTTGGACATTCCGGTTTTTATACTGCTTTTTTTTAATTCACTAACGCTCTAAAAATGAATATTTCAGCCGCAGTAAAGAATCAACGTTGGCGGATTTTGGTTCTTGACATCCTTTACGATCGGTTACGATGCCTAGAGTACGGAGACCTGTACGATTTCGTCAACTTAGTGAGTTTGATAGGGGCCGTATAGTGGGACTTCGGGAAGCTGGACTTTCTTTACGGGCAGTTGCAGTTAGAGTGCAAAGAAGTGTAGACACTGTGGTTAGGTGTTGTCAGGCATGGCTTCGAGAAGGCCGTACGCAAAGAGCAAGGGGCACTGGACGCCGCCGTAGAACAACAGACCGTGAAGATCGCCGCCTAAGATTATTGGCCTTAAGGGACCGTTTCTCCACTACCAGGTCCATTGCAAATGAATGGTTTGCAGAACACGGAAGACCTATTGGCATGCGAAGTATTTACCGACGAATGAGAAGTTTTGACTTGTTTTCATACCGGCCACACTGGGTCCTCCCTTTAACTCGAGAACACCGACGTAATCGCCTTGAGTGGTGCAGACAACGGTCACTCTGGGATCAGGAATGGAACAGTGTTGTCTTTAGTGACGAGTCTCGATTTTGTTTAGGCATGCACGATGGTCGTGCCAGGGTTAGAAGGCGACGTGGTGAAAGGAGAAATCCACAGTTTTTTGTTGAAAGACATGTTCATCACACTGTTGGAGTTATGGTTTGGGGTGCTATAGCTTATGGTTCCAGGTCACCTTTAATCTTCATCAGAGGTAACATGAAAGCGCAGCGTTATATCCACGAAGTTCTAGAACCCCATCTTTTACCCTATCTTGACACCCTGGCAGATCCACCTTTCCAACAAGATAATGCCCGACCACATGTTGCAAGAGTCACAATAGACTTATTTCAATATAATGATGTCACATTGTTACCATGGCCACCAAGATCTCCCGACTTATCCCCAATTGAGCACGTGTGGGATATGATGGGTAGGAGATTGCTCAATTTGCAACGTCCTCCTCAGACTCTAGAAGCACTTCGAGAGGAGTTGGTGGTTGCCTGGAATGAGATACCACAGGAGGACATTGACCACCTGATCAGAAGCATGCCTAGGCGTGTTGGAGAATGCGTAGCACATCAGGGTGCATCCATACATTATTAAAGGTCAAAGGGCTTTAAAGCAGTGCAATCATTTTGAAATTTTTATCATTTACTTATTATGCTTCATTAAGTACTTATACAAAATTTTATTAAAATAAAACCATTTAAACTGGGTGTTCGGATTTATATGTCACTTAGTATATTTATTGTTTAACAGATACATCCATTTAAAGGACAATATATAAGTATATAATTGAATACAATTTGACGTTACAGTATTTTTAACTACAATCATAGCTCGCCCAGTTTCTGAAAAAAAATTAAAGAAAAAAATGAATACCTACTCACCTGCATGTCTTAAATGCTATAAATTGAATAATAGTAGTCGCTGAATAAAGCTCATATATCTTTGACTTTATCATGATGAATGTCACAATTATCAGCTATGGTGTTAAAGCTGGAGCACATAAAGTACACGGGTAACTTAATCATAATATTAGAATTTGGTGTTTTCAAGTAAAAAGCAAGACATCTTCGGGAATTGCGGGACGCTACATGAAGATCAATTTTAGCTAATAAATCTGAAGAATCAGCATCACTGTGTACGAGTTCGTAAAGTAATTTTAAACTATTTCAAACTCTTCTCAGCTCAAGAGGATGCATTTCAAATTTAAGCAACATCGCTGATTGGCGAGTCCCACGATTGGGGTAAACACCATCTAATTTGAAAGTCAAGTATTTAAGAAATCTCTTCTATATACCTTCAATTTCATTAGTATATATTTGGCAATATGGATGCCATATACTAGATGCATATTCCAGCTTAGAACGCACCAAGGTGTAGTATAAAGCCTTCAGTGCCGTTTCACTACCAAATGATTTACAGTTTCTTATCAAAAAACCGAGACTTTGTATAGCGGATGGTATTATTGTACTAATATGACCTGTACATTCTAATTTAACATCAAACAACACACCTAGATCTCTTACTTCTGAACAACGCATCAAACCGACACCTTCCAGTGTGTAATCAGAAACTATTGGATTCGTTTTCCTAGTAAAAGAAAAGGTTTTGCATTTGCTAACATTCAAAAATAATTTATTAGTTGAACACCATTCAAATAGATGATTCAGGTCAGCTTGCAAGATTAGACAGTCATCAATGCTGTTAATCTGAGCATATATTTTTAAATCATCGGCAAACAACAGAGGACAGGTTAAGCAGTTAGGGAAGGTCATTGATAAAATAAAGAAAGAGAAGAGGGCCTTAATTTGATCCCTAAGGTGAAGATTTGAAACCATTGTAAGAAACGTACTGATTTCTATCATGCAAGTAAGAAGAAATTAAGTCTAATAAATGATTGCTAAAAGTAAAATGCTGAAGTTTACCTATGATTCTTTGGAGACTAATCTTATCGAAGACCACATCCATCTGACCCCTCTTATCTAAGACCTCTGCAATTTCCTGTATGATTTCAGCTATGTTAGAAATAGTAGAGCGATTGCGCATAAATCCATGTTGCGTCTCAGATATCAGATGCGAGGTCAAAGGATAGATGTAGTTGTATACAGGTATCTCAAATGCTTTACCAAAATTGTCCAATATAGATATAGCTCGGTAATTTTCGATTTTACTAGGGTCCCCAGCTTTAAAAATAGGGCAGGTATTGGAAACATCTCCATTGGACTTCATTTGATGATTAGATGCTGAATTATAAACGATTCAACGTACAAAAACGCTCAATTTCGAGAACCTGTCGGTCCACAATTTTAAAATATTCTGATTTTTTATTTCAATGTTATAAAGTAATTATGAGAAATTTCAAAACGACATAACACATGACCCCCTCCTCCATTTGAAAAAACGTTCTGACATCGCGGCCTACCAACAACTTGAGTATTCATTCGTGTATCAATTTGATCGTCCCTAGATTCAGCTTGCTCAAAAACAAACAGAAGGGGATTTTTGAAAATTGCTGTATATGTAACAGATATATAATATAACAGGTCGGGTTGAAAAACAGCATAAGCTGACACTCCACCTTTTCGTCACTGTTCGTTTTAAACCAATTATTTTGTAATCGTGTGACGAATAAAGGCCATTTATTATTATTATTATTATTATCATTATATATATGCTCTGTAGATATACAATGATCAGTAACTTGGAAAAATGTCAAAACTATTAAAACCTCTAACGTATACGAGCCTCTTCCCACTTCAGTTGGCCCAACTGTTGAAATCTTAGTTTTTTTTCTTATCAAACACAAATAATAGAAATGTAGCAGGGTGTTATAAGTTTAAAATATTAACAATGAATATTTTGATAATATATAGTAGAAAACACCAACTTTATCACTCCCTAATCAAATTTGCAGCATAAAAATAACACATGTTGCAATTACAGCATATCAAGCAATTTTTATTTCAATGCAAAATAAGTCCATAATGCATAGGTGGCTGTGAAAAATAAAAGCCATGACAATTGTTTTTATTAATCACAGCTGTCAGATTACGTTTAAAATAGTTTTGGGTAGTTAAGGTTTTCAAAATGGGTAGAGGAAAAGGTTATTAGGGAGAAAATTCGGTTACTGATAATTAATTTTTTTAATTCTGGTAAATCAAACTCAGAAATTGCAACTTTGTTAGACTTATCGCGGTACAGTGTGAGAAATATTGTTAGAATATATAACGTAACCGGTTCAGTTAATATTAAGCCACGATATGGGTTAAAGAACATAGACAATGGACACCTCAACAATAGTGTGCAATACAATGGAGTGATGAGGCCCGATGCAAAGTTTGTGTTGGTGACAGTCGCAGTAGAGTTATTCGCAAAAAAAATTAAGCATTCCATGTTGACTGTCTGAAGAGAAAAGTGAAATTTCCAGCATCCATTATGGTCTGGGGCAGTATGTCATCAAAAGGAGTAGGAAAACTTCATTTTACTGATGGAAATGTGGATATAAACAAATATTTGGCAATTTTAGAAGAATCGCTTTTACCAGTGATGGAAGAATGTTTGACATCTGGCCAAGATTTTGTGTTTCAGCAAGATGGTGCAGCGTGCCATACCTCAAAAAAGGCTATAAAATGGATGGAAGAAAATAATGTACCACTTTTGAAATGGGTTTCTAGCAGTCCAGATCTGTCACCTATTGAAACTTTGTGGCACGAGATGAAAAAGGTTCTACGACAACATCCTGCTCGTACAGTCACCGAACTGAGACAAAAGCTTCAAGAAACATGGGATTGTTTTACGCCAAATTTTCGCCAAAACTTGGTTAAGACTATGCCCCAAAAATAAAGTTGATGTTACCAATCATAATCTTTCAATTGTTGCTTTGTTAACTTCGTGCATTTATTCGCATATTGTTTATTTCAGTAATTTCAAATATGTATGTTTTACAACTAGAGTGTATCTAAAATGTTTTTGAGAAAATAAATTGTTTTAGAAGTAAATAGTTTTGTCATGTTTCGTTTATAAAGGCATAATTTGGTACAAATCTTGAAGTGGGAAGGGGCTCGTATTATCTAGGGTTTTCTGGGACAGTTTTTTGTGGAATAAACTCAAAATACAAACAGTTACTCTGTAGTCTGGGTCGTTTTTTTTATGACACGGAATGTAACAACCCCATGCCATGTTCTAAAACAGCAAATAATCAGCGTTATCTGAAAGATGTACTTTTCAAGGCTTGCTACGCCTCATTTAAAATGAATTTCGGAGCGAAATAAAAAGCATATTGCGGCGAGGCTTAGAGAAAGACAGATATAGCGAGTGAGTGAGAAGGCATGGGCAATTTTCCCAGGCGCTTATCTGTTATTACAAAAATTACGGAAGAGCGTCGACAGCAAAGGCCGCCGATAATATCGACAGCAGAGCAGCGACTAGGAAAAGGCAAAGAGCACTAATTCTCTAATAAAGTGCATTTCGAGACTGCTACGGCTCTCTCTCAGCCAGCAAAAGTATAACAGATGCTGGAGTTGGAGTATGAAATTTTATGAGGTGAAATATCTTCAGCTCTTACAATGTTCATTCAATATGCGTGGGTAAGATAAAATATGTGGATAGTAATAGAGAACGTATTACCTAAAACTTATACTGTGGTTTTTATGTTTATTAAAATTAATTTTTTTCTGTCCAAATGGAGGCACATGCATTTATTTTCTTTTATTTATATATTTCTCAACAGATACAAGATCCAATTACACAGAAACACAATACAAGTGTTGAAAAACGACAAGACACACAGACAAAAAATAGTATCATGAATTGATGATACTAAAAAAACCCTATGTTTGCGTATCAGAAATCCAACACAAAGCCCCATCAGTGCATAAATAGCTCAAGCAAATTGATATGTTTCCAAACGTTAATTCTACTTCTAAAGTACATAAACATTGAGATCAAAACATACTGGAAAGCTAAAAAAAGGTTTAAGTCACTGAATGGCTTTTAAGTATGACAATATTTCTTCATTTATATACGTATAGGGCAAAATCCGCAGAAAGAAGGATAGGTAACCCGAGCGATACGTATTTCTGCTAGTTGGCTTCATCAGGCCCTTTGTGATTGCACATATGTAACTACAAAAGAATAAAAAACGAAGATGGAGAGGTAAAAATCACACACGAAGTCCACACCAAGAGCCAACCTACACATTGAACTATAAAATGGCTAGAAGACCTCGAATTTTCAAGGCGACATCTAACCGCAACCACGCGGCCGGTTATAGCCACTTGCTGTGGTACTTCAAGTCCAAAGGATCTACAAAGAGAAAATGATCATGCGGAGAAAGGTATATAACAAAAAATAGGAAAATAATGGGCAAAATCCGGAAAAAGGAGGAAAGTGGATTCGAGCAGAAAATAGGATAGGTAACCCAAGCGTATTTCTGCTGGTTGGCTTCACTCTGAAGATCCTTTGGGCTAGAAATACCACAACAAGTGGCTATGGATATTAGTTGTAATTTATGATAACTAGTTAGTGTTGAAGTAAACTTCTTCATTAAAAAAATCCGATAAATATACTAAGTGACATATAAATCCGAACACCCAGTTTAAATGGTTTTATTTTAATAAAAGTTGGTGAATGTATTTATCTTACTGTAAATAACAGGTGAAAAAATGTTCAGCCTTATCAGTTGGACATTCCGGTTTTTATACTGCTTTTTTTAATTCACTACGCTCTAAAAATGAATATTTCAGCCGCAGTAAAGAATCAACGTTGGCGGATTTTGGTTCTTGACATCCTTTACGATCGGTTACGATGCCTAGAGTACGGAGACCTGTACGATTTCGTCAACTTAGTGAGTTTGATAGGGGCCGTATAGTGGGACTTCGGGAAGCTGGACTTTCTTTTCGGGCAATTGCAGTTAGAGTGCAAAGAAGTGTAGACACTGTGGTTAGGTGTTGTCAGGCATGGCTTTGAGAAGGCCGTACGCAAAGAGCAAGGGGTGGACGCCGCCGTAGAACAACAGACCGTGAAGATCGCCGCCTAAGATTATTGGCCTTAAGGGACCGTTTCTTCACTACCAGGTCCATTGCAAATGAATGGTTTGCAGAACACGGAAGACCTATTGGCATGCGAAGTGTTTACCGACGAATGAGAAGTTTTGGCTTGTTTTCATACCGGCCACACTGGGTCCTCCCTTTAACTCGAGAACACCGACGTAATCGCCTTGAGTGGTGCAGACAACGGTCACTCTGGGATCAGGAATGGAACAGTATTGTCTTTAGTGACGAGTCTCGATTTTGTTTAGGCGTGCACGATGGTCGTGCCAGGGTTAGAAGGCGACGTGGTGAAAGGAGGAATCCACAGTTTTTTGTTGAAAGACATGTTCATCACACTGTTGGAGTTATGGTTTGGGGTGCTATAGCTTATGGTTCCAGGTCACCTTTAATCTTCATCAGAGGTAACATGAACGCGCAGCGTTATATCCACGAAGTTCTAGAACCCCATCTTTCACCCTATCTTGACACCCTAGCAGATCCAACTTTCCAACAAGATAATGCCCGACCACATGTTGCAAGAGTCACAATAGACTTCTTTCAACATAATGATGTCACATTGTTACCATGGCCACCAAGATCTCCCGACTTATCCCCAATTGAGCACGTGTGGGATATGATGGGTAGGAGATTGCTCAATTTGCAACGTCCTCCTCAGACTCTAGAAGCCCTTCGAGAGGAGTTGGTGGTTGCCTGGAATGAGATACCACAGGAGGACATTGACCACCTGATCAGAAGCATGCCTAGGCGCGTTAGAGAATGCGTAGCACATCAGGGTGCATCCACACATTATTAAAGGTCAACGGGCTTTAAAGCAGTGCAATCATTTTGAAATTTTTATCATTTACTTATTATGCTTCATTAAGTACTTATACAAAATTTTATTAAAATAAAACCATTTAAACTGGGTGTTCGGATTTATATGTCACTTAGTACATCTTATGCCAAAGCTTTTATGACATACGTTGTTGCTTAATACACGAATGCCTCATTTTAGTTTTTGCATGACTTGACGTTAGTTCCACTTCTGTGTCATTTGTACATATTATGTACTTGTGATTCTAGATTTGGAA